TCGACTAAGAGGAGTTGCCGTGCATCTTTGCCATGTCTAGTGTGCGCAATTCGGCTCAAAGACTTGACCAGCGCATGTCCCTCTAGAACCAGAATGTCGTCCGGGTAAGCCCACTTTCCATACAGGTTCACCTCCCAGTCTGACTTCCTGAGCAAAGCACGGGGGACCTCAACGAAGCTGGCGTCGACCTCCCATCCCGCCTCAAGGAGTGCTTCAACTTCCTGGTCCATGTCTGACTCGTTTTCTGTCAAGGCAGCGGAGAGGGCAGAGGCGCGTGCACTTGTCGAAGGGCAACGCCGGAAACGCTCTCGCTCCGGCACTCTCCCAACCTGGGCTGCAATCTCAGGATCTATTCTTCGCCCGCACACCCCAAATCCGGTGAGCGAGGCATCAGAAGCCGAGATGTACCCATTCCAGGCGCGTGACCAGTCCGAAAAACACAGAGGGAGGAGAGCCGCAAAGACCTCAAACTCGCGGCGGACGGTCGCCCACAGCGTGACCCTCTCTCCATAATGTTTTCGGATGAACTTGTATGTAGCATGAAAAATGGGCATGAGGCATCTGTTGAGAAGGGAGCAATACGTAGCGTGTCCGATGAGAACCTCCAACACACGACCCGAGACACACCGCATCTTTAGCATGTGTCTGATGCCCTGCCGGAGCCTCCACATCCGCGCCGGCTTCAAGGAGGCCCGGCATTGCCTGCCGGACAAACGGCACCCCAGTGCATCGACTTTGTGTGATTTGACCTCACCAGGGTGGAGCTTCAGGCCTCGCTGCTCAAATGTCTCCGTGATCGAGGAGAGCGAGGACTCCACGACGGACCTGTCCATGGACAAGACCCCCAGGTTGTCTACGTACACATAATGTCTGGGATCACCCTCCGGGCGAGGTTTGCCTGCTCCAGGCCCAGGGTCGCTCCGACCTTCTAGCAACTCTCTCGGAACTTTGATGACCAGAGGGGGTCCCCTATCGCGAAGCAAGGAAGACTGTTCTAGGCCCTTGACCTCGCCCATCAACTTCTCCGAGATGGTCTGGGCAAAATACAAACTCCATGAACAACCCATGGGCAATGAAGACGGCATAGGGTACACAAGGTCATCTGGCTTGAGCTGTGTTCCCCCGAGCTCCTGACCCGAGAGCCCGACCCACTTGGCGGGCACGGGATCGAAGCAAAAGAATTCCTGCAGCCAACGTGGTTGTTTGAGTCGGTGAAAACAATCGCGAATGTCAGAGAGCCCCACATGTAACTCAGGGAGCGCCTCAAAGCCGGGGAAGAGAGTGTGATCAAAATCCTCCCAGGTGATCTCTGCCTTCGCAAAGCTTTCAGGGGAACAAAGGCGCACTGAAGGTGGAGTCGCGAACCTGAAGTTCGCCCTCCGCCCGTCGATGATAAGCCTCTGTCGCACACCATCGCTCTTCTTGACTACGAAGATGCCAGCTCGTTCTTTTGGGGTTAAAGTATAGCTGCAGTAGCCGATCTTATGCAAACGCTGTATGAGTGACTTGTAATGTCGGACGCTCTTCCTCAACAAGGGGTCCCAGTACGGGGTAATGTCACTGTGGTCTTCAGCTGGTTTCAGCATGCGCTCGGGGTCCTCCAAATACTGATGGGCGTCGGTGCCGTAGAGCAGGTCGGTCACCTGCGGACAGTCATGAACAGATTCCGGCAAGCTGACGCGGTCAAGGCTGAAGGACGCCAAGGTTGAACCGGCCGCCTCGTAAACCGAGGAGCCGCGGAGCAACTCTCGAAAGGCTGCCTCCGGGGAACAAGGGGAAGTAGCGCCCTCGGGAAGTTCAAGGGAAGCCACACACGCCGCCTTCACATGTTCGAGGGCCTCCTGTTGAAGCCGGGAAGGCGAAAAAGCGCCACGATCCTGAGGGGCACCAGCCATCCAATTGAGAGCCCGTACCGCCTCATTCGTGTCCACCTGAAGTCGAATTCGCCGATTGCGCCGTTGGGAACTTCCTCTGGAGAGCTTCGTAGCGGCACACTCCACATGCAACTCGGGGAGCGGGAAAAGGCCCCCCAGGGCCCCACAAACATTCTCCTCCGCTGGGGGGGCCAACCCAGGCGGAGGACACATGTCCTTCATGTCGACTCGGGCGCCTCCGGCTTGCGAAGGCGCCCACCCTTCTGCTTCCCTTTGGGATTCGGCAGCGCATCATCCAGGGTCGAGCTCGTGGTCTCAGCGCCGGTCAGGAGCTTGCGCATGTCCTTGATCTTTGAGCGAGCGGCAATGAGTTCTACTTCTTCTTTGCCACGCCTTGCTGCCCATGACCGCAGCTCGGCCGATACGACGTCGTCGGCCGAGACCGCACCAGTGAAGAGTCTCGCGTGGCCCCAGTCAGGAACTCCATTGGCTCCATTGGAGTACGCTTCTACGATTGTTTGAAGTCGTCGACCGATCGCTTCGAACGAAGCTAGGCTCGGCATATTTAGTTGGTCGTAGCATCCTCCCAACCACAATGCCTCCACCAACGAGCGGACCTCATGAGCCGTCCTGTCGGTCTCAGCAAGATGATGTTTCCGGAGCCATGCCTGTAGCCAAGAGCGAGGGTCACCTCCATGCCGATGGAAATGTTTCATTGTGTGCAAGAGCGACGCCGGTCCTTGGTGCGGCCAGTCCTTCCAAGCATGGGCCGCGGAGTCGGACACAACCTTCCTCCATTCTCGGAATCTGTCACCTTGGTCATCAAACTCAACCCAAAGTGTCCTGGCATCGGACTCATCATCGTCCTTTACCTCGGGGGTCTCCCTGGCCTCGCCCGCACGGTTCTTCAGAGGGTCTTCGGGGTCCGGGCGGATGCCGAGGCGCTCGGCGGCCGCATCCACAAGGGGCTTGCCCGTCAGGTGTTTCAAGCGCTCAAGCTGCCAAGCATCCAGCAACGCTCTATCTACAAGCTCACCCCTGACCCACAAGCCAGCCCGAAAAAACGCAGCATCTTTGCCGCCGAGGAACAAGTCTCCTGGCGAAGGGGTCAGCTCGGCTCCGATTTGAAGTTCACCTCGAGGGTCGGCAATAACCCACATGTCTGTCGAAGAAAGGACAGGAAACTCGTGTGAAGTCGCCGGGCTCGATGTAGGGCTGGCGGTGACAAGCCGCTTGGCCCCGACCCTGCGGGGCACCAAGATGGTTCCGAGATAGGCCGTCGCGTCGACAACATCCCCCTTCATGTTTCGCACATGTCTAGGAACCTCAGGGCTAGGTCCCTCCATCCCACGTAACTCTTGCAGAGCCTCGCGGATCCAGCCTTTGAAGTCCTCATCGCTGACGCTTTCCGAGAAGCGGTACACCGGCCTGGTGAGCCTGGACCAGTAGGTGAAGTCGACGCCTTTGATCCGGAAAGTAAGGGGACCGAGGGTGCCGTCTCCAACTATTGGTTCGAGGTACATATCGCCGTCGGGTGTAGCAACCCACCAGCTTTGCCTGTCCTTGGGCCAAATCAACAATCGCTCGTGCCATAGATCGTCGTCTTCATACCAGGTGACGAGCCTATCGCCCGGAAGGCATTGTGATAAGGCCCTTTCCGCGTCGGCGCGGGGAGGTGGCGATGGCATCACCTGCTTCGGAACGCCTCCACCTCGGGTAGATCAGCCCCACACTTAGACCTGAGCTCCAGAGGAAGAAGCTTGTGAGCAGCTGATACCACGGGGTCGCCCTCTTGTCGTCGCCACAGTCGCACTGGCAGAGGCAGCTGGTGGTGTGGTTGAAAGTCAAATCTCCAGGGGCTGGGAAGAAGTAGGCGCTTCGATCAAGCTTCAAGCCAGCTTCAAAGATTTTCGCCAGAAGAAGCAGAGAGAAGCTTCCGAGTCCCATGGCAGATTGACTTGTCCCTTTTCACTTGAGCAACCCCCCACGTCAGAAACGAGTTTCACTCAGCTTTACAGCATTCATGTGCACGCACTCACAGACTCCAAGTTTTGTGGCTTTGGCGATTTCACCAGACAAACACGTGATCCGTTACCTGTTGCTAAGGGTGGTTTGTTTGCGAGACCGTCAGTAGCAACAGCACGTGACGACTTCTCGCAGTCCGGCTGCTCCCAGCGAAGAAGCGTCTCGCTGGGTTCCTGCGGTGTCACGGAGGGAGCTGGCAGCGGCACCGCCTCGACAAGGGGGGGGGAATGGGGGGGGTTGTTGAACCACTAAACCCGAAACCCTAAACCCTAAACCCTAAACCCTAAACCCTAAACCCTAAACCCTAAGCCCCTATACTACTTTCGGCGGGGCCCTTTCCAGGCACCTCAGCTCCTGGCACGAGCACCGCCTGCAGCTCGTGGAGCGCCGCAGCGAGGTGGCGCAAGGCTCCGGGGGCTTCATAGGGTTTAGGGTTTAGGGTTTAGGGTTTAGGGTTTAGGGTTTAGGGTTTAGGGTTTAGGGTTTAGGGTTTAGGGTTTAGGGTTTAGGGCCCCTAATCTAGGATGCCCAGTAGTGCCCTTATTCCCTTTTTGGGGGGTTTAGGTTCCCCTTATAAACCCCTTTAAGCAAAGAACACCCTTTTTAAGCCTAGGTTGCTGGGCAACCTAGTAATACTAACCCCCCCTCCCTGCCCCCTAATCTCAAATAAACCCCTCGATATATACTATAATATAGCTATACTGGGAGTCTTTCATATTAGGGGGCAGGGGCCCGGTAGAGGTGTCAATGTTAGGGGGAGGGGATTCTCACGAGTGGCACTGGGGGGGGCGCAGTAAACCAATCGACCGCCTCGATCCTCATCTCGACCGCCGCCACTTTGGGCAAAAGAAGGTCAACAGAATGCCAAGAAAAGGTCAACACTAATCCAATACAAGGGGCTGCGTTTTTGTGGGGAGGAGTTGAGGCCAGGGTAGGCCATGGTTCATGACGCCATGCTGTAGCCGGGAGATCAGGCCCTAATCTTCGTGAGAATCTCAAGCCGACATGTCATTGCTGCTCGGAGCTTCTCAGGCTTCGCGGAGCCTGGGACGCAGTACGCGGTGCTTTCGAGGCTTCAAGGGTCTGAGGTTCTGCTGTCGAACGAGGGGGAGTTGGATGCATCCGGGTTACGTAGAAGTAGGGTCATATGTAGGGTAACAATGGTTATTACCTTGCTTAGGGTACTGATAACCCTACTTATAAGTACCCTAATGAATTTTGAAGTAGCAGATACTGTGGGAAGAACCGAGTCCAAGGAGAGAATGCTGGAGGCAGGAGCCCCAGCTGGAGTGTGTTGTTGGCAGCCTTGCACGCAGCACGGTGTGGCCACCAGCGAGTCAGGGAACTATAGATACCTCTTAAGCATTCGACATGTAGACATGCACATACGTATATACATCCGTTCATGCAAAAATACGCATATACATATACATATATATATATATATATATTTCAGACTATATAGACGCACATATATATACATGTATATATATATATATATATATATATATATATATATATTTTTTTTTGCACATATGCATATTCTACCATGTATATGTATGTATGTATATATATATATATATACATAGGTAGATAAACACACAGGTGTATACATCTCTATACGCGTACACATGTCTGTAGAGTATATACGTATGTGTATAGATATACACGTGTACATATACGCATATTTACATATCCAGACCCCTTTGAGGGGTCACCGAGGGAACCCCACTTGGCGATTCATGGGTACTTGCAGCTAGGTTTATAAGTCGGCCAGCCATGGTTGTAACCTTGCCTAGAATACTTATAGCCCTACTCCTAAGTACCCAATGAACCTCCAAGCATTCCCAGACCTCCCCCAGTCGGCCGCCGCGCGCTGCGCGGCGCAGCTGGGCGAGGCGGCGCAGGGCCTCGTGCGGCGCTGCGTTGAGGCACTGGTGGGTGTGGGTTTGGAGTTTAAGGTTTAGGGGTTAGGGTTTAGGGTTTAGGGTTTGAGGTTTAGGGTTTCGGGTTTGGGAGTTCAGGGTTTAGGGTTTAGGGGTTTGGAGTTTATGCTAGGCCCTATACTTCCAGGCGAAAACCCTTTAGAAGGACACCTTTGATCTGGAAGGACGGCCTTAATGATATGAAAAAGGTGTTTTTTGAGGTTCTTATAGTATAGTTACAGAGGGACCGCAAGGAAATTAGTAGGGGCAAAGCCCAAGCACACAGGGAACCCTGGAAGCAACCAAACCCTCAGACCCAAACTCAAAGTACGCCGCACGTGGCCATTGCCGTGCCAAGTGCTTTGGGCAGCACGAACATGGACACATGCCTGGGGTATATAGAACAACATGTATATGCATAGCCTACATACACACACAAAGACGCATGCGTGTCTGTGTGTGTGCGTGTGGCATATGGTGCTTCTTGGGACTGGATGCGACTCACTTGCAACGCCATCCGAGCTGCTCTAGGCGGCTCAGCGAGTGGTCTGCGACCTCCGCAGCAGCAATACCCTGAAGCGACCTTCGATGGGCAGGGCAACCAGAGAGGACTGAAAGAGCGGCCAGCGAGGTGACACAACTTATTATTATTGTTATTGTTATTATTATTATTGTTGTTATTATTGTTATTATGATTCATAATACTAATCATTATCATTGTTATTATTTTTGTTGCTATTTGTTGAAATGACAGCTGTCTCAGCCTCACCAAAAGCCACCGAGATGACCTGCAGAGGGCCCCTCAAAAGCCCCCTAAGATCGCAACTTGCTGACCCCGGTTTTCAAGGTGAAGAAGACTTCCGCCACGGCGGTCGCACCGTTCTCGGTCTGTCCTTGCTTCCGTCAAGGCACGCGGCTTTTTTTTTTTGGAGCTTTGGGCGTGCCTCTGGTAGACTGTCTAAGGTCTAGGTGCTGGTCCGGGTTCAGGGTTTAGGGCTTCGGGTTCAGGGTTTGGGGGGCTTGGTGTTTAGGGTTCTTCAGGATGAACTGAAGGAAGACTTCCTTCATTCGAGGCTTTGGGGCTCCCTGGGTTCACAGAACTCTCCATCTGGGGCCGTCACCCCGGCTTCCTCCGTACTCCTCGCAAGTGGGGGGCGAACTTGGCTTCTTTGCGCAGCCTTTCCCAGGAATATTCGCAGCCCCCTACTCTGGGAGCCCACATCTACCCCCCACCCGGTTGGCCAGCCCGACCTCCAAGATATGCCTGCTGATTCAAAGCAAAGAATGCGTGACCTAGGCGCCCTATAGTCCCCCCATATGCGCCCTGGACTCGATGAGGTACTTAATTCCCACATTCCCTACTAAGAACCAGCAAGTATGGACCCTATGCCGGTCATCTGACGGCGGTAAAGCCGCTTAGCTGGAGCCGTCGAGATAGACGAAACCCAATCCTTCTCGATACCCATACACAACCTTCCACACACGTGACTTCATGCCCTGAAACCTAAAACCCTAAACCCTAAACCCTAAACCCTAAACGCGGAAAACTCAGGTTCAGGGCTCTCCTGCAACAGCTTCTTCAAGGCGGCCAACTTGCGTTGGTGCCAGAGTTGGGCCTCGGATTCGAGGTCCTGCGATGAGCAAAACGAGGGTTTAGGGTTTAGGGTTTGGGGTTTTGGGGTTTTGGGGTTTTGGAGTTTTGGGGTTTTGGGGTTTTGGGGTTTTGGGGTTTTGGGGTTTTGGGGTTTTGGAGTTTTGGGGTTTTGGGGTTCTGGGTTTGGGGTTTGGGGTTCGGGGTTCGGGGTTCGGGGTTTGGGGTCCGCGGTTCGGGGTTTGGGGTTTGGGGTTTGGGGTTCGGGGTTCGGGGTTGGGGGTTTGGGGTTTGGGGTTTGGGGTTCGGGGTTCGGGGTTGGGGGTTCGGGGTTTGGGGTTTGCGGTTTGGGGTTCGGGGTTTGGGGTTGGGGGTTGGGGGTTCGGGGTTTGGGGTTTGGGGTTCGGGGTTCGGGGTTTGGGGCTTGGGGTTTAGGGTTTGGGGTTCTGCTGCGGCTATTTCTGTTCTGAGTACGGTTGTTGCCACATTTGCGATCTACGAGTTACGACTGGCGACTATTTGCGTTTGTTCAAGAATATGATTGCTATCACAAACACCTTTGCTGATGCTGTTCCTATTCCTGGGAACACTACGGCTACGATTGCCAAGACGATTGTCGTTGCTGGTACTCTTGCTATGACTGCTTTACTTTTGCTTTATTGCTATGAATTGGGATGTTCCCCCGTATCCTAAGAGTCCTTAATAGGGATTCTAGTACCCCCGACTCTAATCTCTATTAGGAACATCCCAAGCTATGAACCCTAAACCCCATAGAATGGAAACCCTATGACCCGATGACATAGTGGCAATCTGCGGCCACGCCTTCAGCAAGTCGAGCTTTGTGCCGAGCTTCCACGCTTCCAGCCTGCCTTGCATCGCTACATGGCGTAGGGTTTCGGGTTTTTGGGGGGGCGTAGGTTGGATCTAGGGCGAGGTTGACGTTTCGCCTACCAGAAAAGGTGTAAACCCTGGATCACCAAACGCCAAAACGCCCCTAACCCCTAACCCCAAAGCCTAACCCTAGACCCCAAACCCTAAACCCTAAACCCTAAACCCTAAACCCTAACCCCTAAACCCTAACCCCTAAACCCTAAACCCTAAACCCTAAACCCTAAAACCCTCTTTCTTTGCAGACCGAGCCGCTCTCCGCCATCCAGGTCTCATGGCTGCTGTCAGCCTCCGCGCAGAGACTGAGATAGAGCTCGATAATATAGGGTTTAGGGTTTAGGGTTTAGGGTTTAGGGTTTAGGGTTTAGGGTTTAGGGAACAAAACTGTAATTCAAAAATCGGAGTCCGAATATATGAGTTAAGGTTCATTCGCTTACTTCAGGAAGAGACTTGAATCAAAGAATATGGAATAGAGCTGAAACTGCCGAATAGACTACACGGACACACAACATGTACTC